ATGTAAATGAATTTTATACCTAAAGTGTACCAATAAAAGAACTTAAAAAAAAAAAAAAAAAGCTATTCAACTCAGTTTGGGTTACGAGGTGGTCCACCACAGCCCTTTCCTCCCCAGCAGACTTTGGCAGACAGCAACAATCAGTCTTTTCCTAATAAGAAATAAATTAGTATAAACAGTTCTCTTCAGAACAAAAATGTGAAGCTGAACACAATGAGAACAAACTGCTCGTTCAGAACAGCTGTGAAACAATGGAGCGGCCACTCCTGCCACTAAGCACAGCTCCACGAGGCCTGGATGAACCTGGGAAAGATTTCCTGGCCTTGTTTATTCACTGCCACACTGCTATGCCAACAATCGTACAAACAGGCAAACTCTAATGCTGGACAATCAGGTGTAATCTCATCTCAAGGGCTACTTCTCTTGCAGTTTGGAGGGAAGTGATGTTTTAAAAGTCCCTGAGTTTAAGGCTTGTATTAATGAAGAGCCCACTAGAAAAGGAGCCATTCCATCCTAGAACAGCCACTGCCCCTGCTGCCACACATAAGGGCTCTGCAAATTCTAGGAGGCCCCAGATAGGCCTGGCTATATGCTGGTTGTTAGAAGTCCCTTCCTTACTCAGAGAATGTGACCTCTGAGAGTCTTTGAGCTTTTCTGGGTTCTAAGCTGGAGGGATCTTAGAACATAGATTGCTTCCTGCTGACCCCAGAGAAAGCAGTCCGGGGAGAAAGAACTAGGCCACTGGAGGTGAACCTAGTATGCATGCCACAGGGGGCTGCTTGCTGTCATTGAAAGCTCTAAAAGGTTCGCCATCACTGCTCAGAGATCCATTTCGCTCTGTAAGAAATAAATGAAAGAGAAGGGCTTCTGCTCCTTCTGAAGGGATTGAACTGCCATCCCTGGTCTGCAGAAAAGCTTTTTTTTCCCCCCACAAATTTCATAGGCACAGTCAACAGACCTTCAAAATCTCAGCTCCTAACCAGCTGCATACAGGGGATATTAATGGTCCCTGGACATCAGGAAACATTTACTTAAGCAATTGTTTTGGCAGCCAGTGAGGAATGCAGGAGGCCTTCTAAGCTACTGATCATTGCTATGCCAGAGTAATATGTGGGAAAGACATTTGGGAACCTTGTGAATGTGCAGGACATGCCATGCATCAAAATCCTGTCATCTCCCATTTGTCTTGAATTTTCCACTGTAAAGCAGAATGATTTATTTTTTGGTTTTTTGTTTGTTAGTTTTTTGGTACCGGGGATTGAACTCGGGATCTTGCACTTTCAAGCCAGGCGCTGGAACCACTGAGCTAAATCCCCGGCCCCAGACTGACTTTTTAAAGAAAAAAAATATATGTTGTACATACATATAACAAAGAAATACATATATAATATATAACAAAGTTCCAGCATACTCACATAGTAGATAAGTTTAACTTTCATAAGCTTTGTGAGAAATCAACTCCTTTTTTTTTTTTTTTCCGATACCGGGTCCTTGCGTTTGCAAGGCAGGTGGCAGAACCACTGAGCTAAATCCCTGGCCCTCAAATCCCTTTTTATAACTCTCCTTGGCCCTACACAACTCACATAAGGAAAAGAGATTTCAAAAACACAAATCACAATCAATCTGGTGATGCAAAAGTTAGAGTGAATGTCAGAAAATTCAAGTCTCAAGGATTCAAAATGCAATTAGGTATACAAATATTGGCACTTACTCACAAAATGTGCTGAAATCATTCAGGGAAAGCATGGGGCTGGACTTTAAACTCCTTGGATTTTCTCCCTTAAAAAGCAAATAAATCACAAGGTTATAACAGGTAAATATTTACAATTTTTATTTACAAGGTATTTAAAAGATACTGCCTTAAACTAATAAAAATGCATCTGTGCATTAAAAATCATTTGGGAACATTATCAAATACCAAATACCCCAAGCAAACTGCTGAATTTAGGTTCAAGCATGCTTATATTTCTTACTGATAGATCAATGGCCATCAACTTTTCCCAAAGTTGGTAAAACAATCTAATTTACCTAGGAAGCTGTATTTATTACCTATTCTATAACTTTGTGTGTGTGTCTGGTGATGCTTGATTCCCTGTTTCCTTTCTTTATAATTATTTCTAGTTACATCTTCCTGGATGAACATACACAGATTCTAGGACAGATGAACTAGCCCTGGGAATGGCAGGTATAATACTGCCCAGTTGACTTGGTTAGGGCCTGGCAGTCTCTAGGGGAAGTGATTCTCTCTGGGTTGCCAGCTCAGCAAACAAAAACACAGGATACTAGGTCAAATCTGAATTCCAGACAAACAACAAATAATTTTTTCTGAGTTTAACTGGGTGTTCTATCTTTTATTTGGCAGTCTTACTTCCCTCCATGAGGTACAGTGTACACAGAGGGTGCTCCTAACATCCTGCTGAGATTTCACCCTGAGTAGACATGGGGCTGAAGGACAATGCCTACTGCTGCTCCTGGTTCTTAAAAGCTTCATGCTTTAAGGACTCTCAAAGGGTCTTGCCCTGCACTTCCAGTAGAAGAGGCTCCTTTTGTGGAGCTGGGTAGAGCAGAGGACAGTGGCATATCATGCCCACAAATCTTTTAAGATCGACTGCTCTAGTAATGCACAGCTTCATGACACTGTATTCATCAGCATCATCTTTGCTCTTTTTGAGCAACTCTTTATTTTGCCGGAACTGAAATTGGAAAGTGAGTTTCGTGCTTCCCATTGAAGTTGAAGATTTAGCTCCACATTTTGAGATCAGGCTCAAGATACTCCTCTGAAAACAACTGGTGCTATTCACACTTTAAACAAATTTTTCTCTTTGGACCAAGAGAAAGCAATTTATCTTTCATGTTTTTCACTATCAATACTAAAACATTCAGTTCAGTCCCTTTCTCTTGATGGAAGCTTTACCTGCCTCAACTACTGAACCCTTCAGGCAGCAACTTATTATCTTTTGTCACCTGCAGAAAGTTCAGAGAAACACACACACACACACACACACACACACACACACACACACACACCATGTAGGAAGAAAAAATTCAACCACCCATGGATACAGAGAGGCTTAATTATTGCCTAGAAAACAACACCCTTTCGCAACATCTTTAAGTCTGATTTCTGTAATTACTTACTGATTGAAACAACAACTTAAATTTATTTCCATATTAATATTAAGTAATGATTAACATAGCTTAGGACCCAAGTTCAGGATCTGGAAGCATAGTCTAGGTGGAAACTAAAGTAATGTAACCCATAAAGGCAGGTTCACTATTTGTCTCTCAAAGAACTTTCCACCCATTTACCAGCATGCAGTATACTTCCATTTCCTCCATAATAACTCAGAGAAGGAGTTCTGGCAGTTATCAGGGTCTGTAACGGGCAGAAGACCTCCTTAGATGGGCTGCCTCCCTGCCTTCCCGCTCTTTCCCCTGGGACCTCCTGCTTGTCCTGTGCTTGTTTTTGCACATTCTTTCTCACTCTGTGTCTCTGTGTCTCTCTATCTGTATGTATATCTCTGTCACTCTCTTTCTGTGTGTCCCTTGTCGCTCCCTGTCTTTGTGCGTCTTTTTCTCTTTGTATGTATGTGTGTCTATCTCCTATCTCTCTCCCTCCAAAACCCTCCACTGATCACTGTCCCACTCTGTTACTGTCACACTTGCCCTCTCTGCCTTCACTTACCTGACAGCTCTTGTTCAGCCCTGTGCTGTCTCATATGGTCATATTCATGGTTCTCCCTCTCTCCCAGGATCCAGTGGCCTCAGCACCAAACATAGAGCAATAATTAACCAACTAGACATAAGTAAATAATTTTTGTTGTTCAAGCCTTGTATATACACATCAGTAAGCACTGCTATGCTTAACCAAGCAATGGCTTCAACTGTATTTACCTAGGGTACGGTATCACATTGGAGTGCTTATTACTCTTTTTCATTCGTTTTGTTTTTTGTTGGTTGGTTGGTTGGATGGTTGGTTGGTACTGAAGATTGAAGCCAGGCTCTTTGCACTGAGCTACATCCTCAGCCCTTTTTTTTTATTTTGAGGCAAGGTCTCACTACCTCACTAAGTCGTGCAGGCTGAGTTCGAACTTGTGTTGAAATGTCAACCTTCCAGAGAGCTGGGATTATAGACATGTACCATCACACCTGGCTTGCATAACACTCCTTTAAAAGGGAAACTGTCTTTTGCCTTTATCTTAATCAATCAGCTGTGATTTTTATACTATGATTCCTTAAAACAGTTTTATAACATTTTCAAACATAAGCTGGTTCTTTAAAAGAATAAACAAAATAAACAACCCTTTAGCTAATCTAACCAAGAAAAGAAAGAGAAGACCCAAATCAATGCAATTAAAAATGAAAAAGGTGAACTCACAATGGACACTACAAAATCAAAAAGATTATTAACAAATATTTTGTAAACCTCTATACCAATAAATCAGAAATTCAGAAGTACATATATTCCTAGATATATAAGAATTACCAAACTGAACCAAGAACATTCTAAAATGCTGAATAACCTAACAACAGGCAATGAAATTTAAGCAGTAAAAAAAAAAAAAAAAAAAAAAAAAATCTACCAACTAAAAAAAAAACAGATCCAGATGGAATCATTGCTGAAATCTAAAAATCTTCAGGGAAGATATAACACCAATACTCCTCAAGCTCTTTAATGAAATGAAAAGGGAAAGAGTATTCCCAAAGTCATTTCTGGAAGCTAACATTACCTTGATTCCAAAACCAGACAAGGATCCAACCAAAAAAGAGAAATATAGACCAATCTCTTTAAAGAATACACATGCAAAAATCCTCAACAAGATACTAGCAAACAAAATCAATGAATCATAAAATATCATACATCATGACCAAGTAGGCTTCATCTCAGGGATGCAAGAATAGTTCAACATGCACAAATCAATAAACCACTTTACAGAACCAAGGATAAAAATCACATGATCATCTCAATAGATGCAGAAAGCCTTTTACAAAATCTAACATTCTTTCTTGATAAAAACATTGAAGAAAAGAAGTAGAGAAGGATCTTATTTCAATCTGTTAAAACCCATTATGACAAACCTACCACCAACAACATATTAATTAATATAGATAAAACCTGAAAACTTTCTGTCTAAAAATAGGAACAAGACACGAATATCCACTATCACCACTCCTGTTCAACATAGTAACAAAGCATTAGCCTGAGCAATTAGGCAAGAAAAATAAATAAAAGGACTACATATAGGAAAAGAATAAGTCAAATTATCATTATTTGCAGAAGACATGATCGTCTACATAGACCTAAAAAAAAAATCCACCAAAAGACTTAGAATTAATAACAAAATTCAGCAACATAGCAGGATGAAAATCAACACAAAAATTTATAGCATTCCTGTATAACAATAATAAACCCACTGAGAAAGAAGTTAGGAAAAAAAATTCACAACAGCACCAAGACAAATTAAATATTTATGAATTAACCTAACTAAGGAAGTGAAAGACTTCTACAGTGAAAATGACAATATTCTGAAAAAGGAAACTGAAGAGGACATCAGAAAATAGGAAGATACCCCCATTCCTGGAAAGCCAATATAGTCAAAATACCCATATTTTTGAACTGATATATAGATTTATTGCAATCCCAATCAAAATACCCAGAGCACTCTTCACAGAACTGGAGGGGAAAAAAATCCTAAAATTCATATAGAAAAGAATAAAGATAGTCCATGTACAAGATCCTAATAACTCCAATCAATGTAAACACTATATGCCATAACATGAGCTAAGACAAATAATATCACCAAGTACAAAAAAAAAAGTGATGGGGAACTGGAGGAGGAAGGGGGAGGGGAGGGGAGAGAGGATTAACAAAAAACAAGCTATAATACCCACATATAACCACTCCCCAGGATGCCTGTAAACTGGATGAATTGCAGAGACTGAGAATAGCAAAGCAATCCTGGTTAAAAAGACCAAAAAGGGAAGCATCACAATAATGCTACAGTGATAAAAACAGCATGGTACTGGTATAAAAACAGACTTGAGGATCCATGGAACAGAACAGAGGACAGAGGACGCAGAAACAACCCCAAGCACATTCAACTATCTGATCTTTGACAAAGAGGCTGATAACACACTGGAGGAAAGATGGCTTCTTTACAAAATGGTATTGGGAAAACTGGCTGTCCATCACGTACTAAACTAAGATCAAAATGGATCAAAGAATTAAATGTTAAAACAGAAACACTTTATCTGATGGAAGACAAAATAGGTAAAACTCTTTTTTCTTTTTGGTACCGGGGATCCAACTTGGGTCCTTGTGCTTGCGAGGCAGGCAGCAGAACCACTGAGCTATATCCCCAGCCTAGGTAAAACTCTTGAAGTCATAGGCATAGGCAAGGACTTTCTGAACAGAACCCTGAATAAACAGGAAAAGGTACCAAGAATCAGCAAATGGAATCATATCAAATTAAAGTTTCTGAACAGCAAAAGAAACAACTGACAGTGAAAAGGCAACTTATAGAATGGGAAAAAATATTTTGCCAGCTATTCCTCAAACAGAGGACTAATATCTAAAATACATAAAGAACTCAGAAGGACAGACTTCCCCCCAAATAAAAGTACCAATAAAACATGAAATAAACAGATACTTTACAGAAGAAGAAATACAAATGGCCAATAAATATATGAAGAAATGTTTAACATCACTGGCCATTTGAGAAATGCAAATTAAAACACTGAGATTCCATCTTTCCCCAGAAACAATGCCCAATATCAAGAAATCAAATAATAACAAATGCTGGCAAGGCTGTAGGGAAAAAGGAGCCCTTCTACATTGATGGTGGGAATGTAAACTAATACAACCACCATGGAAATCAGAATGGAGATTCTTCACAAAACTAAAACTAGAAATTTCATTTGACCCAACTATTCCTGTTCTAGATATCTTCCTGAAAGAGTTAAAGACATCAAATTACAGTAATACGTGCACATCAATGTTTATAGCAGTACAATTCATAATAAGTAAATCTTGGAAGCACCCTATTATGTCCATCAACAGATGAATGGATAGAGAAAATGTGGTATTTACACACAATGGAGTACTACTCTGCCATGACGAATGATAAGTTTGAGTCATTTGTAGGAAAGTGGATGCACCTTGAGATCATAATGTTAAGTAAAATAAATCAAACACAGAAGCTTAAATATTGAATGGTTTCTCTTATATGAGAAATCCAAATTATAAATAAGTAGCAAAAAAAAAGATAGATAATAGGAAGGAGAAAGATAGATCTTTCTCAAATGGGAGAAGGAGGGAGAATAGAAGAAGGGGAGGAGAAGGAGATGAAAAGTAATTAAGATGTGTTGTGTACATCTATCAACTCCACACAAGGAATATAAACATTATGTACTGCAAAAATGGGGTAATGAAATAAAAAATTGATAAGTAAAATTTTTAATATTGATAAAAAGTTTAGTTTTAAATATTTTCAAGTAAAATTTATTTTTATTTATTCTTCTTCACCAAGAAGACTTTGTCTGAGATTTAATGAATGCTCTCTAGATACCAGTCTTATGGAAAATGAGTAATTACTTTATGACTCTAATAGGCACCATATCCAGAACCCATTCCTCAAGCAGTTAAACACAGGGTTCCTGTTCTTACTAACTATTCATTTCCACCAGCCTAGCACCCAGGGTATTTTTCAGGTAATCCTTTGGTAATTTGGTTCAGTAAACCTAATTCAGATCTTTATGCACAAAATACTTTCCCAAGATTATACCATCTCCGTGGTTTTCCAGAAGTTATAAGGCTTTGTTCTATGTTTCGTTATGGGAGCTGGAGTTCTATTGTCAAAATTTCATGCATATTTATCTAGTAAAATTGCACATTGATATTCAAGAGTACTTATGGATTTAAAAGGGGGGAAAAAGACTTTTACTTTATGTACTACTTATTACATCTATTTATTCACATGCAGGAACCAAAAAATAATTAAATCTGTACCAAAATTTAAGTAGATAATTATTTTCTTATTTGCCAGATGAATTTTTCTCATTCATAATACATATTTATTTTATCCATTTATTGCCCTGAAACCAACTCTACAATATTCTTTCAGAACAAAAATACTCAAGAAAATTCTTGTTTCATTGTACATAGAAAGACAAAGTTGAAGAAGTCTCAAAGTGATTGATAAGAATCACTGAGGAAATAAATTTTAAAAGTAAAGGAAGAATCATAGAGGAAGAAAGAAATATATCACTAAACCACTGGAAGTGCTCAAAGTATAAGAAAAATAACTTAAAGTGGCCATAATATTGGAAAATATCAAATTATACACAGACAAGAGTGTAAAAAGTAAAACAAAATGCATATTCATAATGTATGCAAGAAATGTAAGAGAAAAGTCTCAGGGAAACAGAAAATTGCAAATTCTTGGTAACTGTCATGAGTAATGAAAAAATGTGGTGGAACATACATGGTAAAAGACAGTACAGATACTCCATCTTGTCCAGATAAGGAACAGCAAGCCATTTGCAATTCAAAATGTCGAATCCAAGAGAAAATACCTGGGTTTGATCTTTAAAGAAATGGCCCTTGAGCACTTAGAGAAATAATAAAGAACATTAGGAAGCACCATGTGTTGTCCCAGAACAATGAACAATAGTCGACCCTTCATTTTTGAATAGGGTTCTCAATCTTATTAATGAAAATGCTGGAAGGACATCTGACAGTTCATCATGAGGCTCCTTTAGACCAAGGGTTATTCCTGCCCCAGGCTTCAGCACTAGCAGCCCTCACTTCCATATGTGGATCATTCCAAACTACATCTCACCAATCTAGGCTACATCAAATATCTGCTTGAATCTTTGAGACCAGCTTCTATGACTATGCCTCATATCCTCTACTTCTTTGATCTCTGCCAAAAATATAAATTCCTATCTATGGATTTCCATGCTCTCTTCCCCATTCTCTTTCATTGCTTTCTTTGCCAGCATCTCCCTATGTTCTGGGCCCTCCAAACCTTTCCACTGTACCTTGTGGCAAGCTTGCTCTGGATAAAACAGCCCTTAAGCATCCATAGGTCTCAGAGCACTGTTTCCAACTTCTGACTTCAAAAGAAATCTGACTCTGACTTAGAGATACTGCTTTTTCCCCTGCTGATGCCAACTACTCTTTCCTCTGATCCTGACATACAGGAAGGATTAGTTTGTCTGTTTGTGACAGAATCTCCAAGATAGCAATGGCTTTAAAGGATAAGATGATGTATTTCTCTCTTACATAAAAAAATATCTAGATGTGGGAATTAAAGTGTCAGGAGGAAACCAAGTTATTTCTTATCTCACTGTTCCACCACTTGCAATAGTGTTTTCTGCCTCATGGTACAAGAAAGCTGTCATTTCAGAAGACAAATTTATTGATATTAGCAAAAGAGAGGGCTGGTTTTTTATTTCTTTGTTTGTTTGTTTGTTTTTGGTACTGGGGATCAAACTCGGGACCTTGGCCTTGCATGACAGGCTCCGGAACCACTGAGCTAAATCCCTGGCCCTGGTTTTTTTATTTTGTTAAGGAGGCTTTGTGTCAGATCCACATACCATGTCCACTTACATTCTATTGGTCGAAACTTAGTCACATGACCACACCCAGTTCTAGGTATTCTAGGAATGACTCTTCGTAGTCATGTGCTCAGCTAATCCTGTTTATGTTGTCAAGCAAGAACCCATGTAGGAAGTCAACTCATAGTCTCTGCCTTCTATGTAAATCTCTGACTCTCAGGGCTTCTTCAAGAACCACAGGCCTATCTTGCTTTGTACAAATGGCCTAGTCACTTCCTTACTCAGTAACTCATGGTCTTTGTGCATCCCAGCTCCTCCCATCATCTAAGACATCTTATGTGCACACAGAGCACCGACACACAACAGGAGCATCACAATTATTTGACTTTCTCAATGCCAAGTTTCCACCTCCACTCCTTATCTATTGTCTGCTCCCCAATGCTCTTGTTAGACTCTCATCACCTCTGACATTTAGGCTTATTACACGCAGACACACAGACACACACACCTTCAATCCCAACTTCTACTCTTCCATCTTTCTTACTCCCCTGACCTGTCACTCCTCAATACCTCTAAGTCCCTGGGTGTTGTATTTCTAACTCTATCAAGCTTTTGCCCATTCTCACTACCTCCCTCCTTCCTTCCTTCACCCGATCTGGACACCACAGTTGCTCACGTTAACAGTGACCAGCAGCCCCAATTCCCATGAAACCAAAATCCACCTCGCCAGCAAATTTCCAACTTGAATCAATTGTTCTAAAGCACTGGTACTTAAAACTGGTTTAAATCTGTCACCGTCTTAGAATTGTCCTTTTATGTCACTTTTTTCTCTCCTGGATGACAGCTGTAACTTCTCTGCATTTTATTTGCACAAGTGGCATAGTATATGATTCACAATTGGCATTTAATAAATGCTGATTAGATTATGGATGGAATGATGATATATAAATGAATTAATGACAAGAAGCATATAAACCGTACTTTTGTGAATTTAGGTAGTTTTGTGGATTTGTACCTATTTAAAAAACCAAAGATACCAATTATGATGAATATAAGCCCCTGAAAAGATAATAAAAGCATAGTTCATAACTTTTTAAAAAAAAAAAAAGTCCTGCTCAAAAATAAGAATTAGTGCATAACTGGCGTGTATTAAATGAGTATTAAAAATACTCAAGACCTATAGCTAAAGGTAAAATAAATACAGTGTTCCAAAAACAAGATCCAAAGTCTTCAATAGATCAGAATAATGGGCTAGGCCACTTAATCCTAATAGTCAACTTGCCTCTGTTAAGACACCCTTAGAGAGGTTAATTGGCTCATAGGGGTGCTATGCTCATCCGTGGAGTAATCCGATGGTGTTCATAGCTGAAGGTGCTTCTTGGAGGTGGGGCCCAGCTGGAGGCATCGCTGGCCGTGTGTCTCTGGAGAGTCTGTCTCTTCCTAGTGCTCATCTCTTGTGCTCTGCTTCCCAGCTTCCATGGAGTGAGTAGTTTTGCTCCACCATGGGCTTCCACTGTAAGGTTTCTGTCTTGCAGGCAGCCTGCTAGGCATGGACTCAGATCTCCAAATCTGTCAACCTAAACAAATCTCTTCTCCTTTAATGTATGGGCGTCAGGTATTTTGTCCCAGCAACTGAAAAGCTGACTAATACATGGTCCAAATATTTAACCACTATATATATATTGATATATATAAAGATTAGGACATATTCCATATATATGTAATGTTAATATATAATTTTTGTTTTATTAAGCAAAAACTTAATACATTTGGTATTAATTGGTACATTTTGGATATGCATAATGATAACATTCATCATAGGGAATTTGTACCTATACATGAAAAGAATGGGAAATTTTTTTAATATTTATATACAACCTCTTTAATATTTCATGTAATCTTTAGATATATAAATACATACATATTATATATGTAATATATAGGGTATATTGTTTTCATATATTCAAATAAAGAGCAACATAAATTCCTTCTTTTCATTTAGGCCCTTTACGTAGATCCAAAACCTCAACTTTATAGACACAGAAACCAAACGAAATAAAAAAATTATACCTGTGAAAATATATATAAGATTATATTTAATTGTAAAGTTCAGTATAAACCAAGAGTTCCCTCAAATTTAATTGCCACTTTATCCTACCCCGGTAGACATAAAGCACCAGGAACTGAGACACGTACTATCACACATTTAGTGTTTGGTGCAAGGCACCCATATATTTCTAGAATAATTTGAATGAACTAGAACAAATGCAAAGAAAAGCAATCTCACAAAACTCATGGGAAAGGTCTGCATATTAGTCACTATTATATCTGTTCCTATGCTTAGCACACTGGCACTGCCACATGCTCTAGTTTCAAAATGATCAATACCTGTCATGAAATACACACTTAGTAGAAATATGCTAAACAATTAAATAAAGTTATACCCAATGATTTGTATCAGTTTTTTAAAGATTTAAGACCCTTTCTGTTGCTTTATATAACTAATATCATTAGACCCCTATGTGAGTCATTTCCTCTGATAGTCTGAGATCATTCTTCAAGAATAAGGTATTCTTTCAAAATAACTAAAAGATATAAAAATATTACATTTACATAATTCTTTTCTGTCTTTATTCATTTTTCTTTCTTTGTTTTCTTTTGCAGTACTGAGGATGGGACTCAGGGCCTTGCATATGCTGGACAAGCACTCTATTCCTGACGGAGCTACATCCTCAACTCTTTTTATTTTATTTTGAGACAAGATCTCTCTAAGTTTCCCAGGCTGGCTTCAGCCTTGTGATCCTTCTTCCTCAGCCTCCCAAGTAGCTTGGATTATAGGCATGTGCCACCATGCCTGGCTATGGAATTCTTATAAGCAGAATTTTGCTAAGTCTGCTTTAATATGAACAATCCTGCATGAAGGAGCTAAGAATATTGACATAGATAGTTTGTACTCTTAATAGTCTATGAACACCTCTGACCTCTCTTGAACCAAAATAAGTCAAAAATGGAAACAAGTAATTCAGAAGAGCCAATTCAATCACATTATTTTACTGTACATTGATTTCATTTTGCCTTGGAAGTCATGATGACCCTTTAGTCAACTGAAAATTATATTTCAACCATTCTTGGAAAGTCAATCTACTTGTCAAAAAGCAAATGAGTCTATGTTATGTTCATGGTTTATGCCCTTCAATGGGTAAATTCATTTATTTCTGAAAATACAAAAGATCTTGCATAAGGATATCATATGCAATCATTAATTAAACATCTTGCAATGACACAAAATTTTCACCACATTAGAAACAGTGGGGATATAGAAGTAAAAAGTAAAAAGTGCCAGGTGTGGTGGTACACCCTGTAATCCTAGCATTTGGCAGGCTGAGGCAGAGGGATTGCTGTGTGAGGCCAGCCTGAAGTACACAGTGAGATCCCGTGAAGAGGAGGAGGAGGAGGAGGAGGAGGAGGAGGGGGAGGAACTAAAAAGCTTATGGCCCTCCAATATACAATTCAGCACACAACCTCAGTTTTTGGGTTCCCAGAATAGATCGCCTCCATTTTCATTACACATTATTGCATGCATTATATAAACAAAGAAAATGAAAATATGAGCACAAAGAGGCAAGACTTCTACCACAGCTATGAAAAATAAATATTTTGGCTGTAGTGACCATGTTCCAAACACTCTCCCATTCAGCCTCTGTAAAATAAGATGTGTTAGTCAGCTTTCCGTGCCTGTGACAAAGTACCTAAGAAAATCAACTTAATAGGAGGAAAGGCTTATTTTGGCTCATGGTTTCAGAGTTTTCAGTCCATAACACCTTGGCCCTGTTGCTTTAGACCTTCAGTGCCACAGTACATCATGGCAGGAGCATGTGACAGAGGATATCTTACTTTGTGATGGCCAGGAAACAAAAAGAAAGACAGGAAGGGGTCAGGGTCCCAATATTCTCTTCAAGGGCATAACTCCAGTGATTTAACTTTCTTCCAGTGGGCCCCACTTCCTAAAGGTTCTACTACCTCCCAGTAGCACCACAGGCTGGTGACCAATCCTTAAATATGGGCCTTTAGGGGGACATTCAAGGTCCAAACTACAGGGTAAGTGATTCTGATATTTTAAATGGACTTCTTAATGCTTTTACTTTGACCAATTAATCTCTTTAAATAAGTACTTCTAAGAAGCTGACAGCTATAGGACGACAAGGCTGCAAAACAACAATTAAAACCAACCCGAAAACACAAAACCAGAAGTTGTTCATAGATTAAAAGAAGCTGTCAATAATTTATTTCCTCTATTTATTCAGAATGAATAAATGCTTTCCTTTAATTTTCTACCATATCCACTGAAGCATAGTATTTCCAAACCATAAATACATAGAGTATGAATGATGATCCAGGGAGAATATTAACATAAGATTTCAGTATTTTACAGAATCATTTGTTAATATCGAGCATGAAATGATGAAAAAGTATGGAAGAAACCATTACTAGATCAAAGAGCTTAGCTTCGAGTTGGAGCACAGGATTAGCAAAAGTTTGGCACGCATGTCACCAGTCTTCCCTCCAGAACCTATATAGTCGCAGATAATCCCAGCTCTTCCCACTGCATCCAGATACAGGCTCTCCACCCTCTCCAGCATGCTAACCAGCCCCTTCCATCCTGAATCAAAGGTGTTAGCCAACCCTGAGTGGGATTTCTATACAACAGAAGGTGAACTAATTGCCTGGAATGTTCTCTCTCCATGTTTGTTACAGTACACGCCAAATGGCTCTCTCAATAGGTAAAAACAACACTCATAGAATTTTGAACATGCCCACAAATGCACTTGTAATATGCCAGACACTATACTACGTGTTTTACATGCATTCTCTTTTAATCCTCAGTACATTAGGTATTGGTATTAGCATCATTTTAAGGGAGAGGAAGCTGAGCCTTTGAGAAGTTAAATAGCTTCTCAGAAGATGCCCGGAGAGTATGTGGTAGCTCTGTCAAGTTCTCATCTCAAAAGCTGTGCTCTTAGACACTGTGCTCAACTGTCTCCTCCTTTATTCTCAAAGGCTCAAATTGTCTGTGGTACAAAACTACTAAGCTTTAACAGGCGAATTTCACACAAACTCCCTTTGTCCTGGTGTATCTTGATCTTAACACAGTTAATCACTACTGTGAAATACCCTAAATTATCAACACTATAACCCTTTATTTAACAACTGTCATGGTCCCAACATGAAACTTCTAACATTCAATTTGTATATAAGTAGAAGAATTTCTTCACTTGGATGATAAACTTTCAGGAGGGATGTCATACGGTAGAACTGTCCAGAAATGATCTTGTTCTCACACTGTTAAAAGAAGTGAAATGGGTACCACCAGCAAGATGCAAGAAGCAAGATAGTGTGGCCAGGTTTTGCCCATGAACATTGGAACTTTCCATATAAATACTCGTCCAGGGCCAGGGATTTAGCTAAGTGGTTCCATCGCCTGCCTCGGAAGCGCAAGGTCCCAAGTTCGATCCCCATTACCAAAAAACAAACAAAAAAAACCCCAACATATAAATACTCATTCAAAGAAGAAATGACTAATCAAACCAAGAAGACAACAACATGCTCACTTCATTGAATTTTGAAAATTAAAAAAAATTACACAAAGGAGCATTTATTATATTAATGTATTTGTTCATATGTTACCCCTAGTTTCAACTATATTCTAGAATAGTATTTAACCTATACTGAACACAGATCACAGAAAATTAAAACAGTGTTCCCAAATAACCTTGGGCCTGAACACTTCAAAAATTCCCTCTGAAAAGTTATATGGTTACCCTGTTTTCTAGATGTCTTAAAAGGTTGTAAAAGCTTCCCGCCATCAGAGACCAAGGGACTCAAGAGACACGTAACACCCACAAAGAATGTAACAATTCAAAAGGTGGGATGTAGGGTCAGGAGCACGGTGGAGCAAAGAGGTATCGACCCTGTTCTTAGGAAGGCCAAATGTAGACAAGACACAAGACAGATGAGAAATAAGAGCATTCAATTATTTATCTGCAAAGAGAGCTATAAATTACCATTACCATCTTATGGTGGTATAGAATTGCAAGCCCTGCCAATAAAGCAATAATTTTCAAATTTCATTTTCCCAATAATCTCCAGAGACACATGTTTAAAATGTAAATTACTAGGCTTGTTTCCAGACTCTGATCCAGTACCTACAATGTAGGGCCCAGAGATGTACATTTGTAAAAGCACTGAATGTGATTAAAATGCAGTGGTATTAGATTGTGAGGCTACGGAGTTTCCTTTTGGCAATAGGTCTCAATTCTGCTAGCTGCCACCAAGTAATTGTGAGTACCTGTTTGTAGGTGAGCAAAACCCTGAGGAGGCTTCTCGGATATGGAAGATGTGCATAATCTACTTGCCAGAGAAGTGTATTATAACCATTAAAGAACAGTGTCTAACAACTGACTTTTCCTCTCTCCACATACTTAACACTCTAAAAATACTGCAGAAGAAGAGTATCAGTTAAATTCTTTTTTCTCACTAAAGTCAATTACAGGT